ATCTTCGTAGACGTTTCGTGGAGGAACAACAAATTTCTGTCACGTAGCCGAAAGATGACGAATCGTAGAACCGCGAATTTTGTGGAGATTATTCTGCCGTCGTCCTAACATCCTTATTATAGTACACGTCTCACTACGGTACATTTTATTACCATTTTGTTACAAAGTTATTACATCATAGCAAGCTTAAAATTTGTTATTAGCAAGTTCTTTATTACTTTTCATTTGAATTCATTCGAACCTCATTAACTTCTCCAGTTGAGCAAATTGTTATATGGTACAACGAGAAGCAAAGAAATCGAGGAGCTTGTCTTTTTCATTCGCGAGTTTTAGTTGCTGAATATCTCGAAGTTCCTCACTTCGTGTGGGCTCGAGTTGAAATTTTCGATTCGTATCATGTGTCTGTAAAGAGCAACCGCAACCGCAGCATCTGAGAAGAGAGAGAAATCGACGTTTCTTTCTCTATCCGTAGAGCTCAAGGTTTTCAGCTCGCTGAATACGCGGTGTGTATAACCATGCCGGGAACCTGTTCCCTCTGGTAGAGGAGCCTCACTTCGGCTCTTTAAAGCTTCTCCCCTTTCGTCCTCCTTTCTCTTCTGCCTCTTCGATTTTTGACTTTAAGATGCGTAAGTAACGTCGCGTATGTTCGGCCAACATTTTATACAAGTTACAGTAGCTGTGATAAATCTTTCCCTGTCTTCTTGTATAAATGTTGTCTGCAGATTTCATACTGTACCCTAAATATATTTGTATACCGTCGGAAAGTTACGTGTAACTGGATCAAAGTAATGTGTAATTCGAAACGCATTCCACGACACGTTGCTCGGATCAACCTACACCTTGTCCTTCAAATCGTGAGGGTAAGATCTGCGCAACCTGATTTAATGAATTTCTGATGTAACAACGGCCATGTCGCGCTTTACTCGTGTATGCGTGCGAGTAACGGTTCTACGCAATGACCGCAGACAGGACTTCTTCCTCGACGTCTTCTCGAAAACTTGACGTCACTCACGCAGTCGGTTACACTGACGCGGTTTCGGATACTCGAGCGTGAGCAAGAAGTCACTCGACCGAGACTATTTCATTTATTTAATTACCTTGTGCCAGTAGTGGTTAAGTTACTTTCCATCTATACGTCTATCGAACAAACGGCGACATTTATTATCCATGTCCGTAGTAATTACTATTATTTCTAATGAGCGTGCCCGCAGGCTTCATCTCATGTCTTCTCCTCTACGCATCTCCCTTTCTCTTTTCTTCTTTCTTCGGTTCGATGTTTTGCTTCCTCGTTGGGGTAACGCGGTGGTACGGGATGAAACTACAGACCACGTAACCACGTTCCCCTCGCGTCTTCCACTTCAGGGTTTCCCAATTCTACATATTCTCCGAGTTCAGTCCTAAAAATATGCAATCGCAATTACTGAGCAATATATATATATAT